GATTTTACTTTTTGCCCTTGGATTTGGTTTCTTCACTTCGTGGTTTGCTCTCGGGTTTCGATTTTTTCCCCTTTGGTGGCTCTTTTCCCGCGGACTTGTATGTGTGCTCGGGCGCCTTTTCGGACCAGTGCGCCTGCGAGGCTGTCAAGCGGAAGAAGAACAGGAACTTTGAATATAACTCTTTAAGGAAATTAAGTTGCCCAAACCAGACGAGAACTACGGATGTCGCGCCGGTTGGTGCCAGTAAATGCACACAACTACAAATTTTACTGGAAAGAAGACGTGAAATGGATCGGGGGATGTGACGGTGCTCGGACTCGTCGGCTGTCTGCCTCTGTCCTTCCTATCCCCTGCCCTCCGTCCTCCCTCTGCACAGAATGTGCTTAGAAGAGCAAGGACAGGTAACTATCTTGCCTCCTCGTCTTTATATTGCGCTGAGTCGCCATTTCAGGCTGGTCTGCCCGGCGTAAGTATGGATTCACGCGCGATGGCAGTCGCGATGAGCATCTTCTCCAGATTTCGGGGGCGAGCGGTCGCACACGCGCGCGCATCTACGCAGACAAGGCGCGTCGTGGGGTGAGTCTAGACGCGTCGCATTCTGTCTCGACGCTGACTTGTTTCCAGGCAAAGAAGAGAAAGGCTGGGACCAGCCAGGAGAAGGACACGCGTGGGGCAAGTACATTGACAGTGTTTCATTGGTTTGCTAGCTTACCGGCGTCTTGCAGGCAAAGCGCCACAAGGGCGACGCCGATGGGAGCGACGCTGACGAGGGCGACACCGACGAGGGCGACGCCGACGACGAGGTAAGTTGAATGCAGAAACAATTTATTTTTGCAACTAACCCCACGCTGCCTAGATGGAGGTGGACGAGGAGAGCGACGCGGACGACGCAGAGGCGGTAGGTTGAATGCACTCAGGGTTGATTTGAAAAGAGAAAAACTAAGCTACGTTGTCCAGGCTCAAGTCGCCCAAGCTGACGACGACGTGGTAAGTTGAATGCAGGAAGAGTGGACTAGGAGTTAAGCCACGATGCCTTGTTTAGATGTCGTGCGGCGAGGAGGGCGGCGACGATGCCGACAAGGATACCGCTATTCTCGTAAGTTGCGTTCATAAACAAATGGATTCCTGGCCTCATTTCAATTTTCCAGGGACTGCAACAGCTCGCGAGAGTGGTTAGTAACAACGAGCAATTACGCATATAGTCTACTCACTTGATGCAGGGACGCGAGTTCCAGCCCGAGGTCAAGAAAAAAGGCCCACCTAAATTGCCGCCCAAGCTCATACGCGCACGCGCCAACGCGAAACGTACCGAGGCCAGAAAGCGGCGGGGACCAGCATCGAGGAAAACGGAGCGGCCCCAATTGGAGATGGGGACTTACCTCGTCCAGCATTTTTCCGAGTTGTTGGAGGTGCAACTAGAGATCGAGCGAGTTGTAGAAGGAGCGTCGACGACAATGGACAAGGTCGCCGCCGCCGACGCGGTACTTCGTCGGCATCAGTCGTTAGCACCTCTTCCGCTCCCGCCTACTCTCAGCAACGCATCCTCCGTCATGGAGATGCTCCTCGACCTCATCGACAATCCTCTGGATTTCCACCCCGACGCGTGGGTTCAAAGCGGCGTCCTGGTCGAGGATCGGGGACAATTCCTACCGGCTAAAACCGCGCGGTTCTACCTGCGCGTTGGACTGGTTCCTGCAGCACGCGTGCAGGCGTCCTTGACGCGCAAGATGACGAGGCGACCGGCCGATATCAGCTGGTTGGCCGTCTTGATGCTGATTCACGGCGTCTCCGTCAAGGAGGTCAGCGATGCTGCCGGCGCCGCCCTGCGCCACTACAACCTCGATCTGGCCTGCGCGATGATCACGAGTGGGATCGAGGCTTCCCCTGGCCTTTCCGATCTTCTGGCCGCATTTGCGGGAAGGCCGTCGGATGCAGCACTCAGCCTGTGCTACCCGGGCGTCACGATAGCTGGCACGCCGTTTCAGCGCCTCGAAGATGACTTGACGCTCGGCCAGTACAGCCGATTCACCAACATCGGCAAACAGCTGAGATGGCGAACGTTCTTGATTCGTGGTATTGATATCCCAGCCCCCGACGGTGCCCTCGCTTTCCGCACCGACCAGCGCATAGGCCGGACGGAAGCCGTTCTCGTCAATACGTGCCGCCTGCTCGGTATGAACACCACGCCCGGGGGCACGTGGATCCCCACTTATGCCCGTCCTCGCATCTCTCCGCCGTCGTAGCATCCGCCCGTCAATCACTCCCCCCCCTTCCCCCCACCCTTCCCATCGACGCCGCCCGACAGACGTTGATAAAGAAGCATCTCAAGGATGAGCACGCAAATTGGACGGCGTGCGGCGTCGATGTCTGTGTTGCGGCGACATTGAAATCCATCACTTGCAACCTGTTGGACGCGGCGTGGACGGTGGCGGGGACAGTAGTAATGGTCACGGTTGCGGAGGATATTACGGAGGAGGAGAGGGTTGGGAAGGTGACGGGAATCGAGACCGAGACGGCGGGGCCGGCGATGAAAGAGATGATGCATTTGACTCGGCTCCTGCACCCCGAGTCGACTAACTTCACGACCCCTGCCGAGCTTCGACATGTCCGCGGGCCATTTGTCGATCTCTACCGTATGCAAGAGCCCGTCGGTCGTGCCGTCCACCTCGCTTACCTGGCGCGACTCCTTGACCCGCTCTCTCCGGCTTTGGTCGTCGGATGGTCTAACACCATCCACCGCGTCTTCGCCAATTCGGAGCTCAAGGACGTATTCCTCGATCCAGAGAGTACCGCCACCGCCGATTTTTTCGTTGGCAATGGGGATGGGCCGGAGCAGCTCGTACCACGCAAGTGGTATAGCGACGGCATCGAGACCAAGGGGGACATCTTTATCAAGGCCGTTGGTGTCCCCATCATCGCATACCATTCTCCGAGGAAGTCCGCTCTCCATCTGCATATTGCCTGCCCGCAGCTAGGCGCCATCAAGCACGATAACCTCTTTGCAACCCTAATCCGAGATATATATTTCCTTGTCAAGGGCGGTATTATCGAGCCGGCCGAGCACCTCATTGCCCAGGACCTCGCCATCAACGGCCCGTTGGATCGCAGCAACGTCGAGGCTCTCAATCTGCGCCTGATTGGTCTGAGAGCCCTCATCATTGCTCACACAGAAGCCACTGGTGTCCAGGCCGCGCTCGACGAGCTCAAGACCAAGTACCGTGCCCTCCAAGTGGCTGTCAAGGGCCTGCGCAGCCTGCACTACAGCAGCGTGGTGGCGGGTCTAGATGAGGAGACATCAACGTGCCCATCAACTCCGGAAGAGGACGAGGGAAGCCAGCAGGAGGGTGCGGTGCTGGGAACGGGGAGTAGTGTGAGTGAAGGGCAGCAGGCAAGCGACAGCGGAGAAGAGTCGGAGCAGGTGCCGTACCGGTATGCGTTGCTGGCTGCAGTAGGGGAAGCTGCACGTCGGGACCAGCTCGAGCGCCTGATGCAAGAGGCGGCAGAGAACATCCGCCATGGCCGTGAACCCGACATGCGCCATCTGGCGCCACTCGGCAAGCCCATTGGATCAGCTGAATTTGAAGCCTACCTCATGGGACTGCGCGATGGGCAGGATCTCGTCCAGACCACACGGATTGGCGGACGCAGTGCCAAGGGAAATGCCGCTCAACTCGACAACCAGGCACGTATCGGCGTCTACAGCGCGAACGCCGCCGCCGCTCGTCGCGTCGCAGATCCCGCCGGCGTCACGCCCGCCATGCATGAAGAGCGGAACCGACGGGGTGTGCTTCTTGTCGAGGCCGTCGAAGCAGTCGAAGACCCGAGAAAAATCCAAAACAAGGAGCTCCTCGACTCCTTCCGTTGCGGCATCTGCGTTGCCTGCGAGGAGGTTGTGGTTGGCAGGTCCAAGAACTGCTACCACCTGTGTGCCGACACGGGTGAGAAGATGGAACTCACCGCCGCCAACTTCCCCTCCCTGGAGCGTATCGCCTACACCCACCAAGTGCTCTCTAATAGCACTCTGGTCAAGATCTTGGGCGATAAGCTTGCACCCCTCCGCGCGCGCATGGTGGAGAAGACCGTCACGGACATCTTTTCAGCTCCCGACAACGTCAAGGACCTCCGCAGCGCACTTCCCCGGGACCAACACCTCTTCACCACCGACGCATCCCAGTCTTCCGTCTACCTCCCCAAGAAACTTGCGCAAAATCAGACACTTTGGGTAACACTTGCCGTGGACGTATTGCTGCGGGAGCAATCGCGATGCCCTCCCCACTTTGAGACGGACAAGGCTGAACATAGGACGGCGTGGAGGACGGGCGGCGACGCCATGGTGAAATGGGCCAAAGATAGACAAGGTACGTCTCTTCTTGTTCTTGTTTAACAGTTCCTGTGCTAATGGTGGCTCTAAAAGTTGGCCTTTATTTATTCCGGTGTTCGTTCGGCACCAAGATGGTGACCAACTTGGTCAAAACGAATTCGCTCCGGAGCGAATTCGTGCTCCATACTTGTGATCACGGGCGAGAGACGATCTGCGCGCACGCGAAGGCATACAAGGACAAGGAGACGACACAAAAAAACCCCCCAAACGTCAACGGCGCGTACGGTCCGAGGTCGTGCCCCGACCAATCAGTTCATCCGGTAGAACACATTCTCGACCTTCCGGTGCATTTTTCGACATTCTTATGGCTGAAGGATAGGTTGGCGCCGAAAAAGGTTAACCGGTAGCGGGCAGCGGGTGGCGCTTTTTTCTTATTTGTCGTCTTGTTGTCTGTGAATCGGCGTAAAGGTTTTTTGTTGTGACGTCTCTAGGCTCAGAAATCGTCTTTCCTTCTGTTTGTCTTTCTTTCTATGCACTTACTCAGCGATCGAAGCGGCCTGTGGAAGCACAGGCTGGTTTCAAACTCCGCCACCACCGCCCCATCTATTCACCTCAAACATGAACTGATGCCGACCGCACATTTGTCCATATTCCCTGCCGGCGAGGAACGAAAGAAAAGGACTCTTTGGCTCAGTGGTAGAGCATCTGATTCCAGTAGAAGCTTGGTTTCCAGAAGGTCGTCCGTTCGATCCGGGCAAGAGTCACTTTTTGAAGTGATGTTCACTGAAATTTCCTTTTTGGGCCGGAGGACGCTCGGTCTCAAATCGAAAGCACATTCTTGGCTCAGTGGTAGAGCATCTGATTCCAGAAAATGGTCTGTTTCTAGAAGGTCGTCCGTTCGATCCGGGCAGAGGTCACCTTTTTAACGGACATTCACTGAAATTTCCTTTTTGGGCTGCGCGGACGAGCGTCCCAATTGGGAACATTCCATCAGTTCTGCACTGCCACAGCAGATGAGCGGTCGCAACCCTTTATACGAACCTTGAAAAGACTGTATTCGGCGCCAACTTCCTGCAACCCCTCGCTTTCCAATTGATTTTTAACAATACTAATGAACGGTCGCCTCGAGAGACCACTACCTTGACCACTATTCAGATTGGAACCTAATAAATCATAACCTAGAATAATTTTCAGCCCTTTCTGCTCCAAAATCCTGTTTATCAACTTGAAACTGGTGCGATTAATACTACCAATAAACACTCGTTCCGACGGACATTCTGACCGAGGCAGAGCTATACGCTTTCCTCGACGCAGACACCACGACCCACTGGAGAATTGTTCGAAAATGGCTCAAACTCGCTTCTGGTAGTGGCAACCTGTACTTGATCGAGAAAGGACGGGGTGAGTTATAATAATTCAGCATTCGAGTCTATTAATGAGTTGATTTGTTGAAATTCTGTTGACACGGACAGAGGCCCCGTGAAGCTTCACCAAGGGGTTGTCTCAAAAAATCTCCAAATCCCGCCTCAAAAAGCCACTCGTCCCTGGCATTTTGGGCCTCAAAAAGCCGGACAATGTCGTCCCGTGCACTCCAAATTTGGCGAAAATGCGCGGAAATTTCCGCGTCCCCGCCGGTACCAGTTACTATGTTATCCCGGCGCGGCAGCGTCTTCATCGGAATGAGGCAGATTTTCGCTGGTTGGTTGACGATCCAAACTCGGTGAGTTTGGCAAAATTCTGGCTCAAAAAGCCACTTGGTGGACAAGGCTTCACATTTTTGGCTTCAAAAAGCCACTATTCGGACAAGGAAATCTCAAAATTTCGCCCTCAAAAAGACACTTTTGAAGACAATCCTTTTGGTAGAGCTTCACGGGGCCTACGGACAGCTACATTCCTCTTCAATAAATACGGGCCGATACTTCCACCAGCTCCTTGAACGCAGTTGAAGTGCATTATGTGGGCTTCGCTTTCGCAGAATTGAATTCGTCAGGGCCGCCAGTCAAACGACACGCATACAGTACCATTTATACAGTAGTGGAGATTGATTCGCAATCCCGCATGCAAGCCTGCGACGAGTCTGAGCCGCAAAAAAGAAAGAGAACAGTTCGAAGTGTCGAGTCGAAGCCTTTCGTCCCAACCCGTTGTTCGCTGCTGATGTCTAGACACGTTTAGTAATCCTGCAACTCAAGCCCCCTGTCCAAGGTAGTGTTTTGTCGTTCAAGTTCCGCGAGCATGATGTCTGTCTGTGATTTGAATTCCACTTAGCGCCAGGATCTAAAACCTGCCTCAAGCCATGCTGAGTGTGAGACAGTTCTGAACGTTCCGTTGTGTTTGAGATTTTATTTCCGCCTCTGACACTGACCTGTAAGACCCGTCTATAAGCCGTGTGTGGAGATGAACCGCCAGATTCAAATTTTACTTCCGTTGAGCACTGAGACCGTGGCGTTTGAAATTGATATCTGTCTTGGATGGATGCGAATTCAGAAACACTCGATTAGGAGTCAATCTTGCTTTCCTTGAGCGAAATGTCTTCCTTGAATGTAAGATGCCTCTGAGAGTTCCGTCGTGTTCAGGTCTGCTTAGTTCCGAGATCTGAGACGGGCGGCTTAGGCCATGTGGCATGTGCGATGTGTCTGAGAGTTCCGCTGGGTTTTGTTTCCGAGACTTGCTGGCCGGAGACCATGCGTGCAGATATGAACCGTCGGATTCAGATTTTACTTCCGCGGATGAGCACTGAGGCCGACTCCGATTTGATGTGCTTGTGAGACCCGATTTCAACGTGGCATGAACATGGCCGACGGAAATGAAATTGTCTCTTAAGTAGACTTGATCTAAAGGCTCACGGCATCGAGTTGTCAAGCCAGGAAATTGGTGTCGTCGTCATCGGCTTGGAACATGGAATGTTGAATCTGTCGCCAGACAGGAAAGTGTTCGTCCAAATTGGGGTGCGGCCATGATTGCCGGAGATGACAAACTCGACCTGACTCTTGGTCGCGTCTTCCACGCTCTCATCATGTTTACTGGTTTGGTACGGGAGAGCGCACATACAGCTCGTCCCCACTCATCCGCCCCCGCAGATTGAGCACCTGGGCACCATCTCCTCCGTGCAGCTCGACGACGCAGGCTGCACGTTGACGATTTCCGACTCGGCGGCGATCCTGGGCGACTGCCACATCGGCGACTCGATCGCAGTGAACGGCGCGTGTCTGACGGTGACGGAATTCGACGCGCAGGCGCACGGGGGGTGGTTCAAGGTGTGGCTCGCGAACGAGACGCTGGAGCGCACGGACCTGGGTGAGCTGCCGCGCCTTTTTAATTTACTTGGCGAACGAATACAGTGCGTAATATGTAGGGGAGCGCAAGGAGGGCGACCAGGTGAATCTCGAGCGGGCCATGGGCGCGCATGTGCGGTTTGGAGGCCACTTTGTGCAGGTGCGCGCTCTCTGCGCGTCCGTGCTCCGACTAACGCACGGTCCGACACAGGCGCACGTCGATACGACAGCCACGGTGGTAGACCGGCAGCCGGATGGGGACTCTTTGCGACTCACGTTCGAGTTCGCGGAACCCACTCCGTCGCGGCCGTCGCTGTTGGCGTATCTGATCCCCAAGGGCTACGTGACGATCGACGGGGCGTCGCTGACGCTGACCGGAGTCGACGACGAACTGCGGCGGTTCAGCGTCATGCTGATCCAACACACTCAGGAAAAGATTACGCTAGCCAAAAAGGCGATGGGGGCCAAGGTGAACATCGAGGTGGACATGGTGGGGAAATACGTGGAGAAGAGCGTCGTGGCAGCGCTGGGGGGCGGGGGGGAGGTGGGGCTGCGGGGGATGGTAGAGAAGATGGTCGAGTCTGTACTGGCGCGCAAGGGATTGGCTTGATTGGATCAGATTGGCTTCTGCTTGTACTTTACTTTTATTTCATGGAATCTGCGCCTGCTGCGCCCACCCGCAAGGCACGCTCTCGCCCCTGCCCCCGACACGCCTAACCCCCGCGCAGGTCACCGTGAAAGTAACAGAGTCCTCGCCCCAGCGAATCTACCAATCCCGCTCCCCGTCACCCTACAAGTCCTACACCTCCCCCCCGTCCCCCACCTTTCGCCCAAAGGCAAAGGTCAACAGCAGCGCGACACCCAACTCCGTCGTAGCACGCAAGGCAGCCAGCGTCGTCTCCAGCTCCGCCGTCTCCAGAGTCGCATCCGTCAAAAGTTTTGCAAGCGGCAGTAGCAGAGCAGCTACCGCCGGCCTCACCCCTCGCTCTGGCTCGCCGTCCAAGCAGCCGTCTCCCGCTCCCAGAGCCCGTGCGGCGGTAACGCGTGGAGTCGTTGCCCGCGCGACACCTCAGGAGCCCCGCCGACGCTCACTGACCACCGACTCCCCCCAATCCTACGCGTCGCGGCCCACCGCTTCCTCCTCAAGCGCCCCCATTTCCGAGCTCCTCGACCTCTCAGACGATGACCAGAGCAGCCCCGCCCCTTCTCCGCGAATCACCGCCAAGCTTTCTGGGCGGCCAAAACAAGAGTTCCCCCCATCATCCCCTCTGCTGCCCCCAAACTCCTCCCTACGCGCCCAGTCCCACCGCGCACGCGTGCCGTCCATCTCGTCCAATGCCTCCTCGTCAGCCGCGTCGGGCTCGTTTTACCCCAGCGCGGCATCGGCGGGCAGCGCCAATCGGTTCCCGTCCGCGCGCGCGAGCCCCCCGTCGACGGCCCAGCACTACTACCAACCGTTTCCGCGCGACGACGCCGCGCGGCCCAACGGCTTCGCCAAAGTCGACCCCGCGGCGATTCCGCTGCCGCCGCACTCTCCGCCGACGTCCACCGTGTCCTTCTCCTCGCGCTCCTCGCTCTCCCAGTCCTCCGCGTCGTACGTTACAGAGTCGGGGAACAGCCAGCTTAGCGTGGCACGCGCGGGGACCAGCGCGCGCGACGCGGCCGACGCCAACATGCGCTCTGGGCTCGAGAACCTGATGAACCTTAGCGGGATGCTCCCCACCGCCGTGGACGACTCGGACGACGAGCTGGAAGAGCGGCCCGATGTCTTGAGTGCGAGCACTGCCGAGCGCAAGGTCCGCGCCGAGGCCAAGTCGGTCCGAAAGGTGCGTCGCAATAAATAGTGTCCGCCCGGCGCGCGTTCTTACCCCACTGCCCACCCAGATCGCGGACCTCGAGATCACGAACCGCTCACTGCTCGCCATCAACACTTCCCTCGAGCAGACGAAGCACCGCCAAGCCAAGGAGATCCGCGAACTGCGCCGGAAGCTCCGCGAGTCGCGCCTCATCCTCCCGCCGCGCGCGTTCCGCGCCGTCAAGTCGTCGCTCGACCACGACGACACGGCCGACGAGGACGACGATGAGCCCGAGGAGGAGGAGGAGGAGGAAGAGGCGGAGAAGACGCGCGAGGAGCACGACGTGATGTACCGCCGCATCAAGGTCATCCTCGAGGGCCTGCTCGAGTCGGGCAAGCGCGCGCTCGAGACGACGCCGCACGACTTTCCGGAGCCCGTCAAGGTCGCCAAGGTGCTCAGCGCGTACGAGGTGCCCTACCTGAGCGACGACGAGGAGGCGGGCGGGGCGGTGGGCGCGCAGATGCCCGCGTCGCCGTCGCACGTCGCCGTGCCGGACAGTAGCGACGAGGACGGCTTTCGGTCTGAGGACGAAGTAGAGGCGATGACCCTCCCCCGCGACTCCCCGCCCCCCTCGCACCCGCCGTCCCCCCAACCGCCGCCAATCCACATATCAGAGCCAGCATGATAGAGACTGGCTGTGCGTGTACACTACATAGAATCGGAGAGTGATACCCATGCATCCATTCATACCGCATACACCTATTTAAAACAGCATTCTAACTAACGTTCCGTCCGTTGTACAACAATAAAATATGCCGCCGAGGAGCCCATCACTCGCTGTCTGCTATC